CCATGTGTATTAGTCAAGATTCTCTAGGGGAACAAAACCAATAGAATGAATACATGCTACAAGGGGATTTAGGTAGTGGTGCACGCCTCAATCCCAGCACTCAGGAGACAGAGGCAGGTGGATCTCTGTGAGGTTGAGGCCATTCTGGTTTAGAGAACAAGTTCCAGGGCAGCCACGGCTACACAGAGAAAGCTGTCTCAACAACAAACAAAAACAAAAAACAAAAACAAGAGATTTAGACAACAGATTGGTGGTTCAGAGGTTAAAAACACTGGTTGCTCTTACAGAGTGTAATGGTAAAAAATAAAATGGTATAGTTCCCCTAGGGCAGCAGCGGGCTGGCGGCCACGAGGGACAGCGGGTCCCAGGTAGGGAGAGACAGAGGCAGATAGGCACACCATGCAGAGTGAGGTTGAATATTTATTTAGTGGGTTGTGGAAGGGAAGGGGGAAAGGAAGAGGGAGGGAGAAGGGGGACAAGGAGAGAGAGGCGGAGAGAGAGAAAGAGAAACAGAGGAGGAGAGGAGAGGAGAGAAGAGGAAAAGAAGAGAGAGTTCAAAACTGGAAGAGGAAGGAAGATCCCCTTGCCTAGGCAGATGGGGGGAGTGAATGGGGCTTGTCTCTTAAAGGGACAGGACAGACCATTACACAGAGGGCCTGGGTTTGGTTCCCAGCACCCACATAGTGGCTCTCAGTCATCTGTAATGATCTGATACCTCTCCTGACCTCTTCAGGTACCAGGCATGTACATGGCACACATGTATACATACAGGCAAAATATTCATACACATAAATCTTTTAAAAAAATTTTTTAAGGAAAAGGGATTTACTAGACTGGCTTAAATCATACATATGGGCAGTGCAACAGTGACTCTCTTTGGATTGGGCAGGCTAAGGACTCACTAGTGACTTGGTCCTGGAGTCGGGGTGCCTCAGCAGTCCCAATCTAGCACTGAAGGCCTGGACAGCTACTGGGGAAACCACGAGTCTTCAGTCCACATTAGAATCCTAAAGAAGCTGGGTTCTGTCTGGCACCAGTGAAGAAATGAAATGGCAGTGATGGCATTGGCAGCCGCTGAAGCAGCGGCATCAGTATAGAGGAGCCTGCTAGCAAGACTCAAGAAGATAAGGCAAAAACCAAATCCTTTCTGTCGGACCTCCTACACCAGCTGCTATGAGAATGTACTGTTCACAGTTAGAATGTGTTCCTCACGGGAGTGTCGAGTGTCTCTTAGTTTATTCCACTTTCTGTCAAAGGCCAGCATGGTGGTGCACACTTTTAACCCCAGCACTCGGAAGGCGGAGAGAGTCAGTCTCTGTGAGTTTGAAGACATTCTGGTCTACAGTGAATTCCAGGTCAGCTAGGGCAAAGAGTGAGGACTTGTCTCAAAACAAAAACAAAAACAAGGCTAGAAATATGGCTCTGTGGTTAGGGTGGCTCCCGTTCTGGCAGAGGACCTGAATTTGATTCCCAATACCTGAGAGCTGTAACTCAGGTACAGGGAATCCAGTGCCCTGTTTCAATGGGCACTGAATGTTACGTACATATGTACATACATACATATAATTAAAATTTAAAAACAACAAAAAATCCAAATTCAGTCAAAGTGACAATCAAGATTAACTCTCATGCCACACCACCATAAGACTGTTGGTGAGACTTTGCAGGCTCTTCAAAGTTTAACCCTTTGTGATTTTGACTCCTTGAGGGCAGGTTATCTTGCCTCTTGGAATCTTTTGCAGGACCTTCTTGTTCTTCTCAGGGAGTAGCTTCCAGAGGACCAGGGTTCAGTTCCCAGCACCCACATGACAGCTCACAACTGTCTGTAACTCCAAGATCTGATACCCTCACACAGACACATATGCAGACAAAGCACCAATGTAAATAAAAATAAGTAAATTATTTTTTTAAAAAAAAAGCAAAGAGGGGGGCTGGAGAGATGGCTCAGAGGTTAAGAGCATTGCCTGCTCTTCCAAAGGTCCTGAGTTCAATTCCCAGCAACCACATGGTGGCTCACAACCATCTGTAATAGGGTCTGGTGCCCTCTTCTGGCCTGCAGGCATACACACAGACAGAATATTGTATGCATAATAAATAAATAAATATTTTAAAAAAACAGCAAAGATAATGGCTCCTGAGTAACATTGACACCTGAATGTGTATTCTGGTTCACACAAACACGTGTGTGCATTGTGCATTGACACACACACATAAGAAGGGAGTTCTAAGTGCAGTACTTACTTGCCTAGCACGCATGGGACCTAGGTTCACACAGTAGGCTCCCATGCCCCCAAACAGATTTGGCTCTGGTTTTCCAAAGTAGCAAATTTAGTACCTATTGGGAAAATCTTTCCCAAGCTGCATCCTTTTTCACTGGATGACCAGTTGTGTCTGCTCTGGTAGATATGGGTTAACCACACACCATGTAAGATGTCAAATGAGACCAAGAGATGGATCATTGAAACACCTGTGTCTCTCCCCACCTCATCCTTAGCAGCTATCAAAGACCAAGGTCAAAGGTCAAGTGATAACTGTGCTCTGATGACTGTCCCCTGAGAGTTCCACCTCAGGCTTAATACCGGGACACCCCTTTGATATCTGGGTACCCCTAACATTCACCATTCCTTCAGTAACCATACATAGAAGGGGCAGAAATAGAATGGACCTAGCCTTCTTGTCCTCCATTTTGCTCTGACCGCTGGACAAGGTCAGAGAGGAATCTCCTCCTAGGACACACCTGGGCCACTGTCAGCCCTGGAGGCACCAAGCTCTGCCTCTTCAGGAAAGAATCTTCTGTTTGCAGAGTCGTAGTTCATCTGGAAGACAGTTGTGCTCAAAAGTGAAGTTAGATTGGCCCCAGGAGTGAACAGACAGTCCAGACCCCAAGTATGGACAAGGACAGAGGCAGGACACCCACAATTGGGCCCTGGAGGTGCTGTTGGAACCTCCTGATGTAGGCCCATAAGACCCTTTTTTTTTCTCTACCAAGACAAATGTTTAGAAGCACCAATCCCAGATTATCAGGAGGTTTTGTGGTTTCTATTGAATGCCTTGGCTATCCTTGAAGACACTCAGGACTCTCCCACGTGTGTCAAGGCCCTGAGAAGTGAGACCTTGGGCATTGCTGAGTGGAATGGATATTTACATTTCCAGATGCCTGAATCCCTCTATTAGGCTGGGCAATAGAAAGCTGCTAAAGGATCTTGGTGCCCTTTGAAGAAGAAGGAAGACTAGTACCCAGCCCTACAGGAGGCGTTCCGGCTTCTCTCTTCTATTCATTCCAAACTCTAAAGCTGAAGTGATGTTTTGTGTTTTAACAAATTAAGCTTGCCTGAATATCAGAGTGTAGACCCAAGCCACTAGAGTCCAGGCAGTGGTAGCATGCACCTTTAATTCCAGGATTTGGGTGACAGAGGCACATGGATCTTGTTAGTTCCAGGCCAGCCTGGGCTACATGAAATTGATCCAATATAAAAGAGAAACAGAGTTCACACAAAGGTCATCCTAGCACTTGGATCACATGCTTCTAATCCCAGCACTAGGGAAGGTGGAGACAGGAGTGATATGGCTGGGTGGGGAGAAGAATATAAGGTGGGAGGAGACAGGAGCTCAGTGCAGTCTGAGAAGCAGTCTGAGGAAGCTGTCTGAGCACTGGTAGAGGTAAGGACTCTGGTGGCTGGCTACTCTGCTTCTCTGATCCACCCCCTGATAGCTGGCTCTTGAGTGTTTATTATTAAGACCTATTAGAACTTGCATTACACAAAGGTAGCACCATTGAGGATTCGGGAACAGAGCTGTAGCAATATTTCTGTCTTGTGGCTCCAGTTTTATGAAAGGGCCAAATGCTTCCACTACCTCATCCATGAAACCCAAGCTTCCCTCATGACTCCCAGCCTGGACTAGGAAGCAGTTGTCAAGTGGGCCCTTTGTTAAGAGCCATGGTGTCAGTATGGTGGTGCTTGCCTTTGATCTCAGCAACTCAGGGCTGTGCAGAGACACTGTCTTTAAAAAGTTTTGGAAACAATTTTGACTGTTCATTTGAGCTCTCAGGTTCCTAGGGTTAATCTTGACCTGGGTCCTCAAGTGCTGCAGGGGTGGGCTCTCACCACCCTGCTGCCTACAGGACACAGATCAGAAGGCCGAGTTTGCAATCTCCACAGTCATAGGATGGGGATTCTGGGCTGTGTTAAGACTGGAAGTGGGACTTGGTGCTGTTGAAGTGAACTGGCTGAGCCAGATCTTGGCACTACATCTTTGCACACATTCCTGGGCCAGTGTCTTCAGGCCCACATTGATGCACTATGACCATCTGGACCCCCAGGTTTCCATGTATCACTTGTAGCCACATGTATACAACAACTTTTCATGGAGTATGCAGGGGTAGGCCCCATTCTCAGGAGGAGAGGAGGGTCTACTGCTTTACAGGAGATATTTAGTGGTAAAACAAGGGGACTATCCTGAGACACTCCCTACCAGACACACTCCATTTTGACCTGATCGATTGCCGGGTCCTGGATGTTGCCAGGAGTCACCCTGATGTCTGAAAAGGCTGGAGGCAGGGGCAGCAGACCCTGACAGAGACCAGACCTTCCAACCCCAGATCACTCTCTCCTTTCTAGAATTCCCCTCACTGTGTTTAAAGGGAACTTGTGACCTTTGGGGGTCGCCAAGTGCCACCCCAACACTGGAATTAATAAAGCACTCTTGTTATTGCATATGTGGCTGATAATCTTCTTTGGGGGGCTTCTCTTGGACCCTAACAATGTCCTTTAGTATACATCAGATTATTTTAGAAAAATGTTAAATAGACCCCCCCAGGTAAATCCTAATTGGGTGTATGTGACTCTTGCCATTTACGCGCCGCAGACTCCCACAATGAATCAGATAGGTTTGGACTTGTCTTTGTGGCCACCACCTCCAGGCAGCCCTCCCTGGAACTCAACCTGCTCCGCCCCCAAACTGGGGGGGGGGGGACTAGAGGTCAAGGGTCACTGGGCGGTCCCGGAAGCGGAAGCGCATAGCACTTCCGCCTCGCAGCAGGCGGCCATGTTGGAGCGGCGGAGGCGGCGCAGAGGTGCGTCCTGGGTCCCCGTGGCGGCGCCGGTAGGTTGGAGCCGCGGGCCTAAGGGTGCCGCGGAGTGGCGGCCGGTGATGCCGCAAGGCGGCAGGGCGATGGGGCTGGGTGGCCGACCCTCCCGGATCCTCATTCTCCCAGGGCTTGGCCGAGACACCCCACCCCCACCCAGGACCCCACCCTGGGGTTGTGCGGATCCTGTCGGGCTACCACTGTCCACCTTACACATTTCGCCGCTGCCGTGACCCCGATTCCCTGTCGCCGTTCGGGCCCCGGGGACGCGGTCTCAGCCTGAGGGCCCCGGTCTGCCCCCGACCCCAGGCTGTCTGATTAGTTCTTCTCCCACCCCCTGTCTTCTGTCAACTTCCTCTGCCGGCTGGCCCCAAAGGAATGTGCGAAGGCAAGTGTGCCTGGCTGCAGCTCTGTTTACAAAGCTGCTTGGAAGCCAAGAAGCACTGTCCCAAGGGCTCAAATTGACCTAGGCCCCCACCCCCCACTCTCAGCGCCGGAGGTTTGGGGTGGGAAGTAGGTCCCTCTCTGTTATACAGTTCACAGCCTACCCCTTCAAAAAATAAATAAATAAAAGAACTAAAGTCATGTGCAAGGGTTGTACTTGTAGAGCATCCTCTGGGGGAGAGGAAGTGCCTCAGACACCTGAGGATCCAAGAATGTTTCCAAACAAAGAGCCCCAGGGCACTTTCTCTGGGGATTCTGAAGACTGTATATCTGCTCCATTAGAGCTGTGCAGAGCGGCGGCACAGACAGGCCTCAGGGCCCCAGGGATCTGCCTCATCCCAGCTGATCTTTTAATGCTCCAGTGCAGCTGTGGGGTTTACCTCTAGAATCCCTCCAATGCTGCAGCGATGCTAGCTGCAACTCATGATTGACGGTCATCACTCTTTAAGGAGGCCTAGGGCAATTTGAGGGGTCCCAGACAACTGCATCTGTGCCATATTGAGGTCTGCTACCCTTTGAAGTCTAGTTAGGACAGCTCAGATCTTTAATGATCACTTGACCTATCTTAGATGGTACTTTATCTTCCATTGGCTTCATAGCTTGGACTCCTTGGTCTAGCAGCTTGGCCCCTGCTCTCGCCTTAAAGATGTTTGCACCTGTTATTCAACAGCTTCCCCCACCCCCGAAAGTCTAGCTCTTTTATTGGGGGGGGGGGTACTCTAAGACAAGAGTGAGGAATTGGGCTATGGAGTAACTTGTCCGTAGACCCTGAAAGCAGTCGCTGGTAGACAGGGAGATCAGCTAGCCCTGCACTGGAACACTGGCAGCTGGATGCAGCTGGATGAACATGTAGGGTGGACACCGAGTATAAGTCTGGAGCAGTTGGGCCTGCGTTCAAAGCCTCAGTCTGTATTTTCAGCTAGGCCCCACCATCCGCCGTGTGTTTTTTACTCTTTCTTACTTCACAACCACTTCATAAGCTGTCACCCTTTTGCTCCATCTGTTCCTGCTGCTTTTGTCACTCGCCTAGAGTTACTGCTCCCGGGAGGCCTTCCCTAACCTATTTATTAGTAAGCCGACCTGGGGACACCATACACTCCCAGGAATCTTCATGGTGATTGTGTCCTGACTTCAGGACTGGGATCTTAGAGGATAGAGATATTTTCCTGTATTCCTGGGACTGGGTCTAGATATTTGACATCAGGAAAAAACAAACCGGGCATGGTAGTACAAGCATGTTGCCCTAGCTGCTTGGTAGCCTGAGTGGGAGGACCACTTGCACCAACCAGTTCAAGGCCAGCCTGGCAACATAGCCAGCTCTAGTTCAAAGAGTAGAAAAAAAGGCAGAATTTAGCCAAGCTCTTGACACACACTTGTAATGCTGACACTTGGGAGGCCACAGCGGGAGGATTACCAATTTGAGGCCAGTTTGGGCTATATAGCAAGCTCCAGAACCACCAGAGCTACCTAGTGAGACCTTGTGTTCCAGACAACCAAGTATGGTAGTGCTTGCTAGTGGCAAAGTGATTGGGATTCAAGGCCAGCCCAGCCTATGTGAGACCTTGAAGCAAGAGAAGAAAAATACCAGTGATTTAAAGTGAGCCAGTGAGCAATAGGCTAGATGGCTCTGAGGTGTTTCTGATCATGTATCCTAAAGAAACACCAACATGGGAGAGGGTCAGGAGACCCTAGAGAATGATTTGTGATGGCCAAGCCCATCTTTCATAGAGTGGGAGTCTTGCTTGACTTACCAACCTGTCCTAGGTTCATACCTTGGTACCATTCTTATCAACTCTTTTCTTTTTGCTTTGGAGGTGCCAAGTGCTGGTTTGTGGATACCCAGGCAGATTCACAGTGCCTAATGCCATGAGCATGGTAGTGCAGCATGTGGAGGAGAAAGCTGTGCACTCCTGGTCACGCATCTCCACGGCAGGGAAGAAAGCCCTGGAAGAGGCGCTGCTTGTGTTTAATCCCATGAGCCAGGATCTCAGTGCCACAGAGGCCCAGCTTGTGGCCTTCCTACAGGGCCTACGAGACGATGGCTTCCAACCGACCATTCTGCGAAGTGGTGATGTCTATGGCTATAGTTCATGCACAGCCAACCCCCCCAGCCAGACAAAGCTACAAGCTCGTGCCACCAACCCATCCGCCACAGCACTTCCAGCCAAGGGTCCTCAGACTGCTGTGTCGCTTCCTGCAAGCCAGGCCACACTGCTCCCTGTGCCACTGTCTGGCAGGCTGGCTAAGGGATCCACACCAGCCCTGGCCAAGCATGCTACCACTAACCTGCTGCTGAGCTCCCTGAAGCAGTCCAATGCCAGCCACACCAGTGGTACAACAGTCGGCTTCCCTGCCCACCTCTATCCAGGTGTCTACCCTGCCATGCGGCTCTCTGTGGTCCTTGAAGCACTGGTCCCACTCAAGACTCCTTGCTTGGGGGATAAACACAGGGCACAGTCACTGCAGCCGTCACTCGCAAACTCTTCCCTAAAACTGAAGAAAGGTTCGGGGAATCCACAGTCCAAAGCATCCAGAAAAATCACAAGCAAGGGCCTCAAATGCCTGAATAAGAAACGTCCTGGGGCTGACCAGCGAGGTGCTGGAACCCAGAGCAGTGGCCTACGCATGAAAGGGTGCTCCGCCTCGGGCACCAAAACAGTCAAGGCCAAGGCATCTCGAACACTGACCAAAGCTGCTCGTGCCCATGCCAGCCTAGCTCAAACCCAGAACAAGACAGTAAGGGCCAGAGCCAAGGCAACAAAGGCCAAGCCCAGGGCAGTCAGAGCCAAAGCCAAGGCCACTGTAGTGAGGAACAAGGCCAAAGCCAAGGTAGTCAAGGCCAAGGCCAAAGCAGCTCGGACCAAGCACAAGGGAAGGCCAAAGGGATCTGTCCATACCAGAACTGGAAGGGCAAGCCTGAAAAATTGCCCTGAGACTGTGGGGAAGAAGAGGAAGAAGGCTGAGGAGGCAAAGGGTCTCCCTCCTAAGAAGAGAGCACGGCTTGTGCTCCGATCCCCTAAGGCATGGCTGGGGCCTGGAAAGAAACTTTGCAAGTCCCAGACTATAAAGGTAGACAGGAAGTGCTCAGATGATGAGGTTCGACGGTGGGCCCAGAAGATCCTCCGTGTGAACCTCTCTCCAGTAGTGTGGCTCCAGCCATTGCTGCCATCTTGATTCCATCCATACTCAGCATCCTGAGCTGTCCGTGTGACCAGCAGCACAGTGTGCCCTGCTCGTGGACTTTGGGTACCTTCCGGACCCCTGTGGTCACCAACCTCCTTTCAGAAACTGAGGATTTGGGAAGGGTGGGTGCGGGAGGGGTGTTTTCATGGCTCAGTGCACTGTGACTTGTCCCTCGAGTTATATGTCTGATGTTCCATCTATCATGTTTTATACCTTTCCACTTTGCGGTCTCCCTGCTCACCCTCCATGCTCTGATTGATGATTGATTTTGGTATGTGGGGTCTGCTGGCAGGAACCTGCCGGAAGTAGCCCTGGGAACAGGCTTACAGAGAGTACCCTGGCAGCCTGAATGAAGCAGGCCATCGGTCTAAATGTTAGGGTGATATTATGGAAGGACAAAGCTCCCAGGCTTCCAGAGAGATGTGGGGAAATTTGGGTGCTGGCTTCTGTAGATGTGTGAGAGAGATCCTGAGGGGCGGGGCAGAGCCACGGCGAAGTAGGACAACTTACCCTGAGTGTCCCAGTTTTGAACCAGATGGGCCCCATTCAAGATTGGGAGCCACTCTGGCAAACCTTGTAGCTGCAGGTTTTTCGGCCAGGGAATGAAGCCTTTGTGGTGCTGCTCTTTAGAGACCAAGCTTGAGGACTTTGCCTGGGCTTGTGTGGGGAGAGGAAACAGGCTTAAAAGGTGTGAAGTGCTGCTTCTCCACTGAAAGTGACTAGCCTCAGTTTTCCCCTGGAGCTCGGCTTCAAATCTGGGCCACTAAACCTGCCCTTACTGTCCAAAGAATTTTCGCTGTAATAACTGGTAGTGGATACAGGAAGGCTTCTACCTGTACCTCAGCAGTGCTTTCTGACTGGATTTCACATGCTCCATCTTCCTCAGAGGTCTAGCCTCACTGTCCCCTAACATGGCCTGTGCTTTAGACATTGTTGTTACCTTCTGCTTTGGAGAAGAGGCTGGGTCATCTGTCATCCACTGTCTATTGCTAGCCGCTCAGGCTGGAGGAAGGTAGTGGTCGGGAGGTAGGGAATGTGCAATCCCTGCACTTGGGAATTCGAGTATGAGTTAGAGGTTAGCATCAGCTACATGGTGAGAACCTCCTCCCCCCAACCTCTCTCTCTTTATTTTGGTTTTTCGAGATTGGTTTGTCTGTGTAGCCCTGGCTGTGCTGGAACTCTCTTTGTAGATCATGCTGGCTTCGAACTCAGACATCCACCTGCTGGAAATAAAGGTGTGTGCCACCAGATCAAGCCAGGGCACTGGAGAGATGGCTTAGTGGTTAAGAGGACTTAATTGCTTTCCAGAGGACCTGAATTTGGTGCCCACAGAAAGGCAGCTCACAAACACACTCCAGGGGATCCCACACCCTCTTGCTTCCGTGGTCAGAGGCAGGCGGAAAGAAACACATATACAATTTTTTTTTTTTTTTGACACAACTGGCTAAAGCATCAGCTCTTTGGGAAAAGGCTATCTTGAGAATCTTGAACTTTAGTGATGTCGATAAAGCAAAGGAATTGTGTGAAATCCCTTAAATAAAAACTTAACTGGCTGGGCTGGAGAGATAACTCAGAAGTTAAGAGCACTGGTTGTTCTTCCATAAGACCCAGGTTCAGTTAGGCAGACAGGCATGCAGGTAAAATACTTACACACATAGAAACAAATGAGTTAGAAAACTTACTGTCTTTACAACAGCAGTAAGAACAATATTAATAACAGATCAAGCCAGGGCTGGGAGATGGCTTGGTAGGTAAAGTGTTTTCTGTGCAAGCATGAGGATGTAAGTTCCGATCCCTAGAGCTCAAGTCAAAGCCAGGTGTGCACCTGAGCACCAGCTCTGAGTTGGGCAGATCCAGCCAAAAAACAAGATAGAGGCTAGAGTGGTGGCTCAGCAGTCAATGAACCGTTCTCACACGGAGAACCTGAGTAGTTGTCGGCACTCGTTAGGGGTCTCACAGCCACCTGCAACTCTAGCTCCAGGGGATCTGATTCTCTCCTCTGCCCTCCGTGGGTGCCTACGTTCACACGCACACTTAAAAAATATAAATTGATCTCAATCTCTCTCCTGCTGGGTGTGGTGGCACACATCTTTTAATCGCAGCACGATGGCAGAGACTGATGGGTCTCTGAGAGTGAAAGGCCAACCTGGTCTACTTAACCAGGTCCAGGACAGCAGGGCTATGTAAAGAAACTGTTGAAAAAATCTCTTAGAGACCAGGTCTCTCACTGTAGCTTTGAGGGACCTGGCACTGGCTATGTAGACCAGGCTAGTCTTGAACTAGAGATCACCTGCCTCAGTCTCCTGAGTGCTGGGATTAAAGGCATGCACCACTGTCCAGTTATTTATAAACTAATGTTTCTTAAAAACACATAAGATTAGAAACTAGAGAGATGATTTAGTTGTTAAGAGCAGTTGCTGTTGCAAAGGATCAGGGTTACGTTCCCAGCATCCCACAGGGTACCTCACAACCACCTGTGACTAGTTTGAGCAGATTCTGCCCTCTTCTGGCCTCCAAGGGCACTGCATGGGCATGTTATATAGCCATACATGCAGGCAAAATAAAAATATATAAATCTTTAAAAAAAAATAAGATGGAGACACAATTGAGGAAAACATACTATCATCAACCCTTGGCTTTCATATGCACCTGCATAAGCAAGAATGTCTGTATGTCTCTCTCTCTCACACACACAGGAGAAAGCACACTCAAGACCGAGCCAGAAAGGTATTTCAAGTCACAAGTTTTGATGCATGCATGTAGTCCCAGAACTTGAGAGACTGAAGCAAGAGAATTTGAGACCAGCCTGGACTACACAAAACTCTTGTCTCAGAAAAGAAAAATCCTGAAGGGGTGGGGGTAGGGAAGGGATCCTTGTGACAAAGTATTCATGATACTGTCACCTCCCTTTCCACACACCAAATAGCGATTGTGCTACCCAGCCCCTTCTGCTTTGAACCAGGAACAAGACACTGATGGTTTGGAGAGTAAAGGGAGAACAGTGGCCTGTGCAGAACACCGTCTTTCTGGATTCTGGGAGGTTCTTGGTACTTTACCCTAACTTGGGCACACATGATTCATACAGTGCGGCTGTCAGTCATGCAGGAGATTACAGGTCTAGACCTGTACCAAGAGGATTGACCTATCATTGGAGAATGTAGGAAGAATACAATATGGAAAGGTCAGAGAGTGAGAATAGTCGGGGGCTGGCAGTTTACAAGACCAGGAGAAGGGCTTACCCCCAGGAGATGTGAACCATGGAAAAGATTTGAGCAGGAAAGTGGATTGTTTGGAAGGAAAGCCTATGGAGTCTGCTTAAATGGCTGTGAGTGAGAGTTGGCATTGTCTGGAATGCCTTTTGAGAGAGAGGAGGTAAAGATTCAGAAGGTACTAGGAAACAGAAAGGGGGCCTCAATGAGCTGTGAGGAGGGGTGGCTTACTGATCCCACCCGGCCCGGTGCTCTCTACCCGCCTGCTAAGTTATGCTCCTGTGGCTGATAAAGGTAGCACCAGAGCTGGAGTCTTACAGGCCGCAGTCACACAACATTTGCAGGAGTTCGCTTGCAGGCTTCGTGGGAACAAGAAAGACTTACCCCAACACTGTGACTGAAACTCGAACTTGGAGGCAACCCATATGGTTCACTGACCAATAAGAGTGTCTTGATAGGGCAGTGCCCCCACTGTCCCCAAATCATTGATCAACACCTACAACCACCACACCTGGAACGTATGCTTTTTGAACCAGCATCTGCAGTGGTAAGTTTTCAGGGCTAGCAGGTCTGAGATTGAGGGCCTCTCATCTCCTTTATCTGAATGATTTTCTGCCCTGTCGGTCTTCCCAGGGTGTCACTGTACTGTGGAGCAATTCTCACTGACATAAAAGCATCCACTTTGGAGGGAAGTTCCTTAAGACTTTGGATGTTCTAAACTTTGGAATCTAAAGGGAGGCGAAACATTCCATTCTCAGGGAGGTTCCTGAGACACAGGATGTTCTAAGGGGAAGTGAAACATTCCATCCTTCAGGGAGGCTTCTTAAGATACAAAATATTCTGCCCTGCGATGGTGGCACAAGCCTTTAATCCCAGCAGAGACAAGTGGATCTCTGTTTGAGACCAGCCTGGTCTACAGGGTGAGTTTCAGAACAGCAGGCTGTTAACACCCATAAATCCTGTCTCAGAAAAACAACAATAAAAGAGATACAAGATATTCTAAGGGGAAGTGAAACATTCCATTCTGCAAGGAAGCTCATTAAGCTCAGGGATTCAGGAAGTCCTTGAAGCTGATAGGACTAACTAGGCCCCTTCCTCCCTAAGCAGACAGTGATAGTAAGGACTGCTTTGAGACTTTCCTAGATGAGTTAAGCTGACCAGCTAGACTCAGACTGGCTGAGCTGTGTGAAAGAAACAGATCTGTCAAATCTCCTAGAAGTAGCAGAGACAAGCTGCCCGGCAGAGGCTCAGACTGATGAACCTGTTGAAAAGCCTGCAGGCTGTGCATTATGCTCCAGGTTTCCAGCTTTCATGGTCTGTCACCTGTACTGGGATAGGCTTTGGTGATACAGTTGTCTTTGGGTCATTGCTGATCCTGTAAGTAACCACAATAAAACTCATTGATTCACCAAGTTGGGCTTTGCTGGTATCTGTACATTGTTCTGCCCTTGGTTCCCTGCCTGGAGTGAGTAGACTTTCGTTAACACATTCCTTAGAAATAGTGTCACTTAGAACACTCTTAGATTATTTAAAGCTGGAATGCCAGGGGGCTGTTCATGTAAGATAACAAGCCAAACCGGGCGGTGGTGGTGCACACCTTTAATCCCAGCACTGGGGAGGCAGAGGCAGGCGGATCTTTGTTGAGTTCGAGGCCAGCCTGGTCTACAAGAGCTAGTTCCAGGACAGGCTCCAAAGCCACAGAGAAACCCTGTCTCAAAAAGAAAAGAAAAAAAGAAAGAAAAGAAAGAAAAAAACAAAAAAGATAACAAGTGTTTATCACTTCTGTAAGTGTGGTTGGTTGCCCCAACCATGATCAACATATCACATATGGGTGGAACTACATAGGCAGGAAGTATGCCAGGATGTATGCTTGTGTCCAGTTAGTTTTGCCTACTAACATAATTTACAGCCATTTTCTAGGAATCCCGATATGGGTTTGGCCCGTGTCCATCGTCCTAGCCAGTATTTAACACATTTAACAAATGCTTCAATTTTGGCTCAAAACTTGT